TTCCCCAAAAATGACTTCATGCTAATGGTACCTGACACCTGTTCTATTGATAAGTAGTTTGTACACTCATATGTACACAACTTACATGAAATAAAAGCAAATAATATTATAAGTGATTTATAACCCAAAGTATGTGCATACCAATTATATGTATAAATGAATGTTTTTATACCTATATTATATACCTATAGTTTATAATTTTAAATTTTGTTAGTGCAATGTAGGTAGTACAAAAAATAAATTTGAAATTAAATGTCCTTAAAATAAAAATAATATGCTATTATAATATTTAAATACCTATTACATATTAATAACATATTGATATTACGACAAAGTAGTGTTATTCAGACGTGCATTAAAAGAAATCCTATATGTAAAAAATAATAAATAATGTTCTAAAAGAAAAATACTCTAAATATCCACGTCGATCGCCCGATAAAAATATCTTAATCAGCAGTTCGTTACCGTGGGAAAGCGGAAACATAATACCCAATATAAATATTATGCTTGCTCCACAAATACAATAAATTGTAAAATAGTAAACAAAAACTTAATTTTTCCATCACGGCATGTCGGCATTAATATGCATGATAATTGATTACATAAATTGTTTATTAAAACACAATCGATATTTTATGTTAATTTTACCATAGATTAAATATACTAAGTATTTTACTACTAAGTATATTTAATCTATGATTGTGCTCATGGGCGTCCCCAGGGGGGCAAGACGGGGCACTTGCCACCACTGGAATAATGTTATTTCCAGTTTCCACAGCAATTGGTAAAATTCTGGTATAATAATGTTTTTTAATGTTTTAATTGTAATAATAATATCTACCTAATTGTAATGTTTTAATTCGTAATTGTAATAATGACGAAACATAATAATTTACTATGAATAAAATAATGTTAATTTATTTTTAAAATTAATTTCCCCCCCCCCCTAGAAAAATGTCTGGGGACGCCCATGAATTTGTACTGCCTTTTGTGGACTTGGCTTTACAAAATAATAAAATAAAACTACACTTATAAATTATAATATTAATATAGTATAATAAATTCTAATAGGTTCCCATCAGAATAGAATCGTACACGATTTGATCGCTATGCGTTGGTGGCCCACAGCTAACGTTTTTAGAAATAAAACAGATATTTTAAACGAATATAAATTGATAACTTAGATATGTAGTATAATAATAACATAATATAATTGTAGTACTATTAATTGCCTATAAAAATAAAAAATAAAAAACTATGCATAAAAATTTATTTATTTTTAACTTTATACTCTATAGTCATAAACGCTTAACTAACCTTAAGATACAAATRATGTATAAAAAAATAGGAGAAAACAATTATTGAGATCTTAACTTCTAATCTAACTTCAAATTAATTTATTTGACTATTGATTTACCCGTATTCATGTCGGTGATCAT